CATGAAACGACTCAGAACAACCATACGTAGATGAAAACCTAACGAGACTCAGACCAGCCAGTGTTTAGCAGAACTCTCACGCTGCTGCTGATTGTGTTTCGTCTGCAGCTTTCGTGTTGACTTCTTGTGTTTGTGCGGCGCTGCAGGACGTTGTGTTGCAGCGACAAACGAACCCTGATGTCAGAGGGTTGGTTTGTTTGCGGCATGTGGACGGAGAAGCCGACCGGGTGGAGCCGATCAGAGCAGATGGGTGGGTTTGAACCTGACCGTCGGGTTTCACAGCTTGAGTGACGCAGAACTAGAAAATAAAGCGTTTTTATTTTAGTCGGTTTGTTTCGGCTGGACGTCGACGGAGGAGAAACAAACTTCCACTTTAACTTTAGTTTGTGGAGAAAAACCATCAAGCACTTCCTGTCTGACCTGTTTTCCTGCTTTAGTTTGAAATCTGTCGGCCACTGGGAGTAAAACGTTTCATGTGAGCTTCTTATTTCATTGAGCTCCCAGTGAATCAGGAAGTCGGATCGGTGACGTCGGGCAGCGGCTGAAACTCCACTTCCTTCCTGTTTCTCCACAGCTGTGAGTCACTTCAGGTTTCTGCTTCCTCTGATGTTTTCATGGAAATTCAGAGATTTTATCAGATACGTTTGACGTTTTTAGGCAGAAGAAGAAGAAGAAGAAGTAAAGCTCACAGTCGGCTCCATTCAGGCTGTTTCTATTCAAGTTAGACAAAGAATGATTTTATTGGATTTAAACTTCTTTGTAAAACATTTTGTTATTTTTAAGTCGGTCAAATCAGTAAAGTTCCTCGTCGATCATGTAAATGACAGACGGTTCAGTGAAGTTTGACTTGTCTGTGTGAAAGCAGTGATTTAAAATAATAACGATCCAGGAAGTTCGTTAACAAAAGTAGAAAAATAAAATAAATAAAATTAAACTCTGAACAACAGAAACACTGAGATGCTCCAACGTGTTTCCTTCAACAACGCTGTGTGAAGATCTGCAGTTTGTTTGTGTTTATAATCACACACACACACACACACACACACACACACACACAGGTTGCAGCCAGCTGGCAGCTGCAGCGTCGAGGTGCAGGAGTTGCGACACGACGTCCAGCGAGGCGACACAAAGGCTCCCAGCGGGGGGAGAAACCTCGGCCTTCTAGGAAACGCAGCGCTGGGCGGACGCCAGGAAGTCCCAGCGCACGCTGAATGCAGCACGGCGCCACCAGACTCCATTCAAAATTCAGCCAATTTTACAACCAGCATGGTTGCCTGAAGAGCTGCAGCTTTTACTGTGAAAGGGCAGCTTGAGGAAGCAGAACGAGCTTCACATGTTTATTTCTACACATATGTTGTATTTCTGTACTTATGTTTATAATAATAGTTAGTTTTTTGTCTATTTACACTTTCTTTATGTATTTATTTTAGATGTTTTGTAAAATGCATTTTTCTACAGTAGATATGAAGTTAACTATTTATAGGAGACATTTTTACATCATAAATATTGATTAATTTACATATTTTCTTGCATTTTGCAGAACAAATATCTGGACAGCAGGTATATATTTAAATGCTTTTGCATATGGAGTACTTTTCAACACTCTTTCTTTCTTTCTTACATTTTTGCAAGAGCTGCAGCTTTTACTGTGAAAGGGCAGCTTCGGGAAACAACCCAGTTTTTAATTTATAAACTGCTCAGGTTCAACAACACATTTCTGATTTTGTTCTAGAAGCTTTTAGTGCAGCCGGTTCACACAGCGTCTCTTCACAACCACGTTTTTGTGTTTTTACATTTTTAAGTAAACTTGACCCAAACTTGAACACGTTTAACTTCACTCATGTTGTTTTACACATACGTACGTATTTATATTTATTTAGTTTTACATTTTAAACACTATATTTTCACACTGTTTACAAAATGTAAACTTTTCCACTAAATCGGTTTAAGTTTTTTTTTGTTTACATCTTTTTTTTTTAATTTTGCTTTATTTTATTTTTTTAATTCTTTGTCATGTAGTTATTTCAGTCTTGTTGAGCTCTGAATACGTTCTTACAGTTTATTTTTCACATTTTACTTTGTTTCTAACCTTTTCTACACCGTATGCTTTTATTTTCATAGTATGTTATTACTGGACATTGTTTTACTGTATTTATTATGATTATATGCAATATATGTTCTGTTTTAGTTTTTTTCACCCTGATTAGTTTTCGTACGCTGAATAAATCATCTTAAGTTTGCTGTGAATGACTCAAAACTTGTCCAATATGATAAGAAACAAAACAAAAAAATGTCCTAAATGACAAAAAACTGACTTCAAAACACGTCTGAAACGCTTCAAACCCCGTAAACGACTCGAACTCGTCCTCGATGCCGTTAAACTTAAATGAAGCGACTTGAAATTTGTCCTAAATGATGCAAAAATCTGCCTCGAAAAATGTTGAAAGTAACTCAAATATCAGAAAATCCCCTTCACGGTTTTTCTAAATGTCAAAGAACGATTCTGAAAATGTCCAGAATCCCTCAAACGGTTCACGTTCTGCCTTCAGTGACTCAACAAGTGTCCAGAATGACTTGAAGCTCGTCCTGAACCACTCGGACTCGACCTGAATCTACACTTTGCTTCGTGTCTTCAGTTTTTTCCCACAAAATTCATCGTTTTCAGTTTTTAAAAAAGCCTCAAACTAGAAACGAGCAAAACTGTAAAAGACGAGTCGATTCGAGTCGTTTGTTTAAAGCGAGACCGGAGCGGCTCCAACATCTGCTCAGCAGCTGTTCGCTCAGACTGCTGCTTCCTTCAGGGACAAGTTGAACCTTTTGTGAAGGAAGCAGCAGTTCTGTGCTCATCAGAGCCGATGGAAGAGCTTCAGGTGGACTCAGAGTCGAGTTCAGGTCATTCAGTGTTTGTGGTTTTCATCCTTAAGACTCGTTTTCTGCAACGAGAATCAAAGTTTCCTGAGTTGAGTCAGGATCAGTGGAGGCTGTGGTTGAGCTTGAAGCTGCTGCTGGTTTCCTCCTGTGAGCTGAACTCTGGTTCTGGTCGTTCTCAGCAGCGTGTCCTGATGCTGTTTCTAGACTTTATCAGAATAAGTTTAAGTTTTGTTTCAAGACTTTTGACTGAGCAGCCTGGTGCTGATGGAGGCGCCCGTCCTCTGGTTGGAGGAGGAAACTCCACCATCACCTTATTCACCTTCAGCTGTCTGTGAAACCCAACCCGACGCTTCACAGCTGATTCTGCTCAAAGGTTTAGATTTTTAAAATCTTTTTGGACTCGCTTTGAGTCTCTGAGGGTTTTTCTGTTTTAAAGCTCATCTTATTGTTTATTGTTTTCAGCATCTGACTGACTTTCTGTCACATCACAAGAAGTTGTTTTATTTTTGTTTTTGTTTTTTGTGCAAAAAGTTTTTTTTTAAAAACAACTTTTTTTCTCCGCTGTCAGTGTTTTTGCGGGTTTGACGTGAACAGACGTGATGATGAGGATCTGCGTCCACGCACCTTTCTCCGCGAAGCTGATGATCTCGGAGTTCTCCTCCAGAACCTCGTTGCCCGTCGGGTGTCCGTCCAGGTTCGGGATCTCCACCCGTCCGTCCTCCAGCAGCTTCCCGGCGTGCAGCTTCCTCAGCGCCGTCACCATGGCCGCTTTGGGCACCGGGTGCGTGATGTTGGGCCTCTCCCGCATCTGCAGCCGGCTCAGGATGTGCCGCTTCACCGCCTCCAGGAAGTCTCCGCTCAGCCGGCCGGACTCCGGGTCCTCCGGCTGCGCCACGCCGCAGGACGCGCAGGTGTCCCGGGACGCGTCGGTTCCGGGCGCAGCGGCGGCGCAGCGGACGGAGAGGACGCAGGCCATGAGGAGCAGCGGGAGGAGGCGGCTGCTCATCTTTTGTCCGCGGGGAAGCGAAACCACTTTTCTGCGTCTTTGTGCAGAGTCCAGATCATAAAACAAACAGAACCGCAGCCAGAACCCGCTCAGCGCCGCGCTGCCTCCATGCGTAACGGCGCTCCGCTCTGACGCACCGGGGCGCGCTTCTCTTCAGCCAGCCAGCAGCGCGCGGCTCATCACATCGTTGTCTGGCCGCGTCCGCTCCGAAAAACAAACAAAAAGTGCCGCTGGGTCGTTATTCCTGTCTTCAGGGAGTCTGGAGCCGCTTCACGCGCAGAGCATCACCGGTCCGGTTCCCGCCGCTCACATATTCCACACGGCACCAAGTCCTCATCTTCAGGCCGAGCACAGGCGCTGAGTCCCGGCGGGCTGCAGCCGGAGAGCCGCCGCTCCGTTCACACGCAGAGGATGAGGAGGAGGAAGAGGAGGAAGAGGAGGAGGAGAGCCGCTCAGCGCGCCGAGCTGCGTTTCCATCCTGACACCCGGAGCCGCCACACACCCCAAAGTTTTTATATCCGGGGGGCGGGGCCAATGCGGAGCCGGAGCGGAGGCAGGGGGCGGGGCCGGAGGAGGACCCTCCCCGAGGAGACCCACCGAGGTTCTGCTGGTGCCACCCAGAGACTGTCCAGGTGAGAAACCCCTCAGAACACGTTCAGAATGGACCAGACAGGAACCGTCAGCAGAAAGACAGCAAGAGTCCAGAAGAACTTGTTCTGTGTAAACATCAGAGCATCAGCGCCTCACCGACACCGAGAATGACTGAAGGAGGGTCTAAAGTAAAATATGTTACAACAGTGAACAGGAAGGTCTGTTACAGTTCACAGGTTTGAAAGAAGGACAAACATCTGCTCAGTGATGTAAACGTGTCCAGTATCACTCAGAGTTTGTTTGAATTGAGTCAGAATCTGCCTTCAAGAGTAAAACACAAGAAGAAAAACAGACTTTACCATGATAGACACTCACTGAGTACGTCTGGAGTTAAAGCCATCGTTCACATATGGAACATGAGTAGATCTGACTGGAGCA